CTCTATAAATGAAATGGTAAAGGGGTTCCTTTTCTATTGCATTTTACTTAGTTATAATGTATATGATTTATTGATTGTGTTTTGTAAGATATTTTAACCATTTAGACTGTCTATTAAAACAAGCAACATCAACAATGCTAGCTGAAAAATAAAAGTAAAATTGTTCATTTAAAATTCAATAATCATATAAGTTCACTTCAAACAATTCATAGATTTAAAAGTTTTCATGATGCACTGTTAATTTTACTACTGTTAACACGTACATTATTTAAAACTGAAAACTATTCCACATAGGCCTATATTACTGCTAGTTTAACGAACGCCGTTTGTGTGAACACTTTGGAATTTTAATCTGTGGATTAGCTTACGCCTGGCGTAAGCCACGCCAGTCGTACGCCGTGTGTGTGAACATAGCCTAAGTTTCATGTTGAGGACTTTCTACATTAGAGGGAAAACCCGAAGGTTACATTAAAAAGGTGGCCTTAAAAACAGAAGAGAAGAAAAGAAAGCACTATCAAGGACTTTTAACTGTTACCAGGATAGGAAGCTGGCTGGTTTAAGCCGTCTAACTTGAATTAGCCTTATATGCGGTATTGTTATGCAAATGAGCCAGATAAGCACAATCTGCACATGCTCAGAAAAACAAAACTTTCCTTATAGCCACACTGCGTATCGGCTAGGCGTACAGCAGCTAGGCCTAGCTTATCTTATTTTTGTTTGTTACGCACCACTGACTTTAGCTGTTTGCCATCACTTTAAGATGTCTACCGATTCGTGGAAAAGGCGTATTAAAATCCAAATATTGGCGTTTGTGAGCAATACATTTTAATTCTATATAGGTAAGTAGTAAGTATATGAATAATTTTAATGCACTAGTTAGGTGATAACTTAATTCTAATTTGTTTTGGGTCTTTTTAATGCATTTTTATTTCAGCGGTTAGACATGACCTAAGCTGGGTCTAGGCTAGCCTAATCACATCAATTTAAAATCAAATTTGTAGACATACTTGCCTCATATCTTAACTTGCAGGTGATTTTATTGGTAGACTAGTTTGTTTTTAAGTGTGTCAGTATGATTGATTTGCATGCCAAGTGAAATTAGCACCCTTATTTTGCTTTGTTTTACCGTACCGTAATTCTCGGCTAGGCCTAGCTGTACGCCTAGCCGATACGTAGTGTGGCCATGGTGTGGCTAAGGAAAGTTTTGTTTTTCTGAGCATGTGCAGATTGTGCTTCTCTGGGTCATTTGCATAACAATACCGCACATTTAAGGCTAATTCAAGTTAGACGTCTTAAACCAGCCAGCTTCCTATCCTGGTAACAGTTAAAAGTCCTTGGCTCTATGATACGGTGCTGGTTGGTAAGAAGATTGATGTTGGGTATGTTCTACATTAGAGAAAAAACCTGCAGTCTTACATTGAAAAGTTGGCCTTAAAAACAGAAGAGAAGAAAAGAAAGCACTATGATACGATGCTGGGTATGTTCTACATAGGGAAATCTGCAGTTTCAAATTGTAACGTTGGCCTTATCGGAAGAAGAGAAGAAGAGCGTCTTTATTAAAATTGCAACCCTACCAGTTTTTTTTGTTTTTTTACGCTATGGTTGAAAAATAATGACAATCAAGTTCCAAGTTTATTTATTTCTATAACTTAAAACGTAAAATTGTTGAATAGGCTTAAGTACTTACAAAAACATTTTAGTATACAGTTTAATTTATGTTTTTTCTTCATTGTTTTTAAAAGATTTTTTGCGATGTATTTTTGCATCTATTACCCTGATGATTACCCTTATAAAATCACATTAAATTTTAAACAAAACAAAGAAAAACAAACAAAACATAGGTCGTAGTGCCCTGCACCAACCGCTCCCACTTCATTTGTTTACTTAAGGTATTCATTAAGTTAGATCTATCATTGATTTATCATATTCATTCAAGTTTATTAAAGTCTGATGAGTAAAGTTGGTTTTGTTACAGAATTAAGACAATTTTTTATTTATTAGAATAAATCAATGAATTTCTTTTAAGTATAACTGTACTAGTATTGCCTTTTTTCTTTCGTCATGTGGTGTTTCTTATTTTAAATGATAAAAATTAACTTGTAAAACTGCATAATGTATTTCCTATTCTTTAATCAATCAGGATATCATGTATACATGTATCTAAAACTATCCCATGAAATTCTGATTCATAAAATGGGTAGAGATACCAACAGGATTTCCTGATTTATCTCCACAATTTTAGGAAATAATTTACATATCTGGCAAAGACAAGTCAAACCAGTCACTCGTAGCAAAATTCAATTTGAGTTATTAAAACAGTGTTAGAGAGTAAAATAATAGCTATAAAATGGAAAAAAATCATTCAAATTGGACATTTCCTTATGAAGTTACAAGCATTTAACCACACAGCTGTTTAAAGAACAATATATGAGAAATCAGCCTTCAAAGTTTATGATTTCAGGAATTTCTCATGCAGAAACTATCTTTAAATCCTTAAAAAGTGTTGTTTTAACATTCAAAATGGGAAAAATAACAGCATTGAACGATGTGTAGATATATAAAGGTTAGTTTAGTGCAATAAAATAGATTTTTTAAAATTTGACATTCCAGCATGTTTTGGCCATTTTCTCTGAAACACGATTTGCGACGAGTGACTGGTTTGGCTTGTCTTTGCCACATATACTGTATGTACAGTAGTGTATATTTGTTTATGTCATCCTGCCCATTGTTTTCTTGGTTTATCACAGGGTTTTAAGCAACATAACAGATCTATACACAGGGCTGTAAAAGTTGGTAGTCTTGAGTACGGGACTTGAGTATTTTAGGGCTGGGCTAGCAAATAATACATTAAAACTACACCAATATTCAATAGCTGATATATATAAGGGCTAGCAGATTTTTTAGCAAAACTAAACCTTGGTCTAGCAAAAAAAAAAAATTAACTTTTTACAGCTCTGATACTTCTATCTATTATTACATTTATCATCAAAATAACATAACATAAGAAATGACATAATTTATGTTGAAATATTGAATCCTGACACGATGGCATGCATTTCGATACTTGGAGTATGTATTATATTATCTTATCTAAGAAAATAGATTTAAGATGTCTTTTGGTGTAATTCTAAATTTGTCATAGATTATTCCATAAAATACTGTAGCATCATAGTAAAAAAATTAAAAATTATTATTCTGACACATAATCACAAGAGAAAAACTACATAAACATGTTTTTTTTTTTAAATTATAATTATTATCATAATATTATTATCATCATATTATCATCAGTTTTTGTTTCGACTAGGTTAGTTGTGTGTGACCTGAAGTCCTATAAATACCATACTAGGTACGCTAGTCACTCGTAGCTGGATATTTAACAAAGAACGGCTAATAATAATAATATTATAATTATTATTATCATCCTCCTTCAGATACCAAATACTTGGTAGGATGGGAGTCATGGCAATAGGTCTGTAGCTAATAAATAGTTGTCAGTGTTTAGCTTTGGCTTGTGCTGGCAGTGGAGTCAATTGAAAATATTTTCCATAAGATGGTGATTGCATTTGGGATTCATTCTTCTCTGTCAATCCATTAAGCTTCAGTATTGTAATGGTTACCGTAGCAACAACTACTGCTAATTGTAAACAAAACTGAAGGAGATTAACAACCCTGGGAATATTTTGAAAATTATTAAAATACCAGGGCAAACAAAGTGGTAAGCTTCAAGATCAAACAATGAATAGAGCCAGGAATATGTGCAAGTCCTGCGTTTACACTGTTGTTTTGAGGAAACTACTCAACAATATCTAGGTGGTGAGGCTATAATTATTTTGTGCCTATCATCGTTAGATTAGAATATGTATAGCAGCTATGTAGTAAAAAATATCACTGATGTATAAAAGCCTACCATCAAATCAAAATAACAGCTCATAGAAGTGCAGTCTGCTGACTTGACACACGTTGGGGCTGTTCCCCTGGAGATGATTTTCACATTGCTTATCAATGTCTGCATGACGGAATCCAGAGAATGGCATTCTTGTTGGTACTGGCTGCAAACATCTGAAAAAAATGTACTATTGGTTAGTATTGCATGCTAGTCTTTAGACAGCAGAGCCCCTTAACTCAATTTGGCTAAACTGAATTGTGGAGATACATAACATTGCTCACAAGTTTAACTGCATTAGTCCATTGTGTTTCACATGGAGGGCTCAAATGCAAGTTTCTAATGCATCTTTCTTTTTATAATGAGATGTTTAATAACATGCAAAGCAAGTTGATTGGCAGGGACTAGGGGCCTGATACAAAGTATCAATGGATGTTTTACAAATTCCATGTACCGATTCCATGTATTACGATAGATAAAAGGGGGTTGTCTTATACGCACAACATACAATTCTTTTTAATTTTGAAAATCATGTTCATCATGTGCAGATCATCCATAACATGTGAATTTACTACTGAAATGAAGGTACTAATTGTTAATATGGTTACCCTGCATGATTGCCGAGCCAGAAATGAATGCTATTCAAGAGGGTTGTTGTTTAATTTGTCAGTTAAGTTTTAATTAATGCTTTTTAAATAGTGATACAATACCAAGCCTAGACATATGGTGATCCGAAGGCTAAATGTAGGCTTGGTCCCAGTGGATCATATCGACAGGAGGAATTCTGACAATGAAACGGGGGTTGTATTATATGTCTGACATACGACAATTGTCCAAAAATCTTCTTAAACTAGGGGGTCATCTCATAAGTGGATAGCCTTATACATGAGAATATACGGTAGTTTATATTTATTATTTGATAAGCATCAGGTTAACATGATACAACTTTACGTAATTTATTTTTTGAAATGTTAAAAACAGAAAATATGCCATATGAAAAAACATTCTTTTTTCAAAGATAACAAAATATATGAATAATATGGGGATTCTAATACCACTCAATTGAATGACAAAGAAATAGAAACATAAAGTCAGCAACGAATTGTATTAACAGTATACAACATGCCTATTATAAAGTAAATATAACGTTGGACATACAGTACCATTGTTACAAAATGCATAAAGCAGGCTACTGTATGTATTGTAATGTATGGTGATTGTACATACATCATAGTGTATGCATTACATAAGAGCAGCACCATAGGCATGTTCTTGAATATTAGGAAGAAATTAAGGTTAGGAATGGACCCACTGTCTACCAGAATACGGGACATGGCGCCTCCACGGAAATAATGTCGTATGAGGGTTAGTCTGCGGCAGTAGTATTGTCTAAAGATTTTCACCTTTTACTCTTTGCTAATTTCACAATACAAAATATAACACACTACTAATGAACAGATTAATGGCAATGACTTTATTGCATATTTTGTCCGTTCACAATCATTATTAGTGTAAAAAGAAAATATGTAGGTAACCTTGAAATCTGTGAGTTTTTGTTTTAATGTGTAGTAAAACTGGCAAGCGATCAATTATCTGCAAGTCCCACAGTCAGTCAGCGTAAGGTGACAACTAGCTATGCATTTTACGCGCTGCAGCATGTCGGGTTAAATCATTTGCCCATAATAAAATAGTATTATTAAAATATTATTTAATAGGAAGTGGATATATTTACGTTGCCGTAAACAAATCAGTAAACAATATATTTATGTAAATGAAACAATGCATGCGCAGTCATACTTTAATAAACTTGCATTTTCAGCACTCGACATTAGCGTGGCCTCCCAAGCCGTGGGGATTCCCCCAAGTTCACCACGGCACTACTTAATTTAAAATTTTATTTTTTATTAAACGTAATTTAATTTTTTACAACAGCACAGTATGTAGTTTAATCACTAAATAAATTATTAATATTAAATCATTGTGTTAACTTCATTTGTTGAATGAATACACTTGACCTACATACAAGGCCTAGGCCTACGCGAGGTTTCCTTGCTAAAACTCAATTACCACGAAATCAAGACGATGTTCTTCTAGTCCTACCTGTATTGTTATACGATAGTCAATCATCAAAAATTAAATAACATCTTAATGTTTTCATTCAAATAAATTTACCCACGTCGTCACTAATCGGGTTGAGCAGAACATACATGAAGACCACATTTGGAGAGTACATGATCCACTCTACAAAGGACTGTATGCTATGAAGCAAGAAGTAAACAACGAATAATAATATGCGTGTATTTTCTGTAAGATATTTAATCACTACCAAGAAAAGTGAGACCAGGGAGATGTAAAAAATACATAAAATACATCTCCCTGGTAAGACAAAACAAATATTTTTAATGTTTTATTTAAACATATGTGGCAAAGACAAGCCAAACCAGTCATTCGTCGCAAAAATGTATTTTGAGTTATTAATACAGTGTTAGAGAGTAAAATAATAGCTATAAAGTGGTAAAAAAATCATTCAAATCGGACATTTATTTATGAAGTTACAAGCGTTTAACCATGGAGAAAATAAAATATATTAATATTTTATTTTCTCCATGGTTTAACTACACAGCTATTTAAAGAACAATATATGAGAAATTAACCGTCAAAGTTTCTCATGCAGAAACTATCTTTAAACCCTTAAAAAATATTGTTTTAACATTGAAAATGGGGAAAATAACAGCATAGAATGATGTGTAGATATATAAAGTTAGTTTAGTGCAATAAAATAGGTTTTTAAAAATTTGACATTCCAGCATGTTTTGGCCATTTTCTCTGAAACACGATTTGCGACGATTGACTGATTTGGCTTGTCTTTGCCACATATTTTCCCATGTAGTCTGATCACTAACAAAACAACATGCTGTGCATGTGTCTACGAAGTATGGATGCAGAACGTGGAATAAACAGCCCCGTTCGACGTTGTGGTCATGATGTGAGAGAGTGAAACGAATACTTGTAGCTCATTATCACAATCATTCAATTATTTTATTTAATTGAAATACATTAAATTACGTTTAGTAAGAATGGTAAAATTATAATTTAAATACTCTACCTATCGGCTAGTCGTAAACTGTTTACAAAAATTCATTCGACCAATTTGGGGATTCCCCATGTGCGTTGATTTGCCATCAATTCAATTGTTCAATGGCTTTTTAAAGAGTAGAAACCATTTGTTTTTACAAGAAAAAGTGTGAAGTTAATGTATTTTAACATGACTATAATAAACACGTCCACGTTTGAAGATTTGATTTTCGTGCACCGTGAATTCATGGTACAGTACATTCAGCAAAAGACCGATGCAAATTTGGAGTCTGAAGGTTGAACTTCGCATTCATTTAACATGAATCGATAATTTTATGTGACCGATAATGCAATTATTAAAGTATGACTGCGCATGCATTGTTTCATTTAGGCCTACGTAAATATATCGTTTACTGATTTGTTTACGGTGACGTAAATATATCCACTTCCTATTTAATAATACTATTTTAACGGTTAACGGTTATTAATTTATAGAGCGCAAAATACAAAAAGTCTCTAAGCGCTATCAGGCAAGTGTAAAGATGGAACGGAAACCAAAACCACAAAATAAAAAAGAAGTGAAATTTGAATACCATGCCAGCACCCAAACCGAAGTACGATGATACGCCCTCATCGCTGGCTAGGGTTCAATCTAATTGAACACCTCAATTCAGCACCTGTTGAGTCTCGGCCATCTCGGATTTGGGCGCCTCCTATCCTAGTTAAAGCTATAAAAGCTAGCTGGCATGGAAATAGAAAAAAATAAATAAATTAAAGGGACGAGAATAAGTGGGTCTTCTGGTGACAGAAGGTGACTCACGAATAAATAAAGGTAACAAGTTCCACAACTTGGGCCCAGCAACCATAAACGATCGCTCCCCACAAGACTTTAACCGAAAGGATGGACAATAAAGATTGGTTGAGTCAGTTGTTGACCGGAAGAAACGAGTGCAAGTTGCAGAACAAACCTTAATTAATTCTGAAATGTATTGTGGTAATAACTTGTGAATTGATTTGTAAACATATAAAAGTACTTTGAATTCAATACGCTGTTTCACTGGCAGTCAATGAAGACGATGAAGAGTAGGGGTGATGTGATGGAATTTAGGTGTACCAGTGACAAGACGAACAGCGATGTTCATCAATAGCTGCAGCTTTCTAATTGATGTTAATGGTATTCCGTAAAGGACTCCATTACAATAATCCAATCTTGATGTAAACCAATGCATGTACAAGTTTTGACGTAGCATCTTCATTTAAAAAAAGCCTAACTGCCTTGATGTTGCGAAGATGGAAGGATACTACTCTGCATTGATTTAATAGGCCTATTCTATCATTCCAATATTTTAAATCTAAAAAAACATCAATCAGTATTTAATATCTAGCTCGAGCATTTGAATGAGATGGACGGAGCATTAAAAAGCCTTTTTTATGTAATGTTTAAACTGATTTAAACTTTGTACGACGTTACGTCGTAATCACCCTACACTCTTAATCTCGTGAGAGGCCTAGGGCCAACATCTAATATCATCAGATCAGGTAGCCATCCGTGCGCCAGGTGTGGGGACTGTCAAGTTTGCGAGATAATGATCCATGATGATTGATCTTCCTGCTGAAATTCTCTTTCGGATTCAAAAAGGCCTGGCAGTGGCATACAAAATTGTGTTGAATTTTTTCAGTCGTTCCTAAAATAAGGAATTACTCATTTAATATTACTTACCTGCAACTACCACAAGCAATAATAGCAATTTTGAGTTCTGAGATATCATGGTTAAAACTCTATGTAAATAGCAAAAGTATTGACGTCGTTTTCATTTAACACAGCAGGATCGATCACATTTTCGATTGCATTGTTGTTCACAGAGGAGAGAGAGAGAGATTTGTTGATTGAATGACAGAGGGCGCTATAGGTAGATTTGGAACTCTGCTTCTGCGCGGTCCGCCGCCAAAAACAAAATTGGATATGTCTGGCGATGGCAGAGGCCTTCAATACGAAGTGTACTGGACAAAATATGGTAATTTTCCCACCATTTGCGTATCTAAAGGTAGAAGAAACTGTAAACGACAATTTAACGTAGGCTTCCCGGAAGCTGTGTTGTCGTAGGGTATGGGTCTAGCTAGGCCTAGCTTATAGAGTAGATAGAGGGCCTAGGCCTCTCTAGCCTAGTAGCCTAGCTAGGTAGGCCTCGGCCTAGTAGTAGTAGGTACATAAGTAGTTAGGTCTAGACTAGGGCCTAGCTAGGTAGGCGGCGCTAATACACTTTCGCACCTAACTTTTAATTCTTAATTTGTTTACCTCAACTTTCTTCTCACAGTCACAACATATATAATTAACAAACATTTTCACCTGATTTAACCACTCACAAAGTACCTTTTTCAACAAATAAGCCCACAAATAAGTAGCCTACAGCGAATCTGTGTTCCCTAGTACGGGTGGCTGCCATTTTGCAATCATTAAGAAATTGCCAGAACTTTTAATTCTTAAAGTTTTTACCTCAATGTTCTTCTCACAGTCACAACATATAATTAACAAACATGTTTACATGATTTAACCACTCACAAGGTACCCTTTTCAACAAATAAGCCCACAAATAAGTACAGCGAATCTGTGTTCGCTAGCACGACGAGCAGCTGCCATTTTGTAACCAGTAAGCAATTGCCAGAATTTTGAGTTTGCAGCGTGAAGTTTTTGATTTACGCTTATGAAAACTTATCTATTTGCCGTATTGTATGTCATTCTTTATACTGTATGGTGCTGTTGTTTGACTGTGTGTGTTCACTTGAAATTCACACGTACAATAATTACTTCAAAAATTAGTAATGATCCAATTAATGCGTACACAGATCGAAAAATAGGGCCTAGGCCTAAATCCAGAAAAACAACTATTAAAGCCAATGATAAACGTTGGTTCGATTAACCTTGATTACGACAAGAAAGTTCAAAAAGATGGTACTGCATGATGCCATATTTTGTTGTCGGATGTTTCATGGGAAAATTCCAATTAAAATTATAAGACTGGCCTTTAATGGTTTCAGAATTTAAGAATTGACTCGGACATTCTGGCAATTTCTTACTTGATTACAAAAAAGTACAGCTCGTCGTGCTAGCAAGCGCGGAAACCCTGTATCAACCTATATTTATAAAGGTATCTTTTTGTTGAAAAAATGTACTTTATGAGTGGTTGAATCATGTAAAAATGTTTTATAATTAGGGCAGCTAAAGCCATCACTAAAGGATCTACGTCCAGAAGACAAAACACGTATTGCCAATTTGATCAGAGAGTTAGCCAAGTATGTTGATATCGGTTTGTCTTTATCAGCTTCCAGTTTAGTACTTATTACCACAACTACTTTCTGTTTTTTTTTAGTTGCATTGAGACTTCAGTATACAGCAGTGATACGTATAATAATATTGTTACACTTACTAATAAATTATACATATTCAGTATACAGCAGTGATACACTAATGTATAATAATATCGTTACACTTACTAATAAATTATACATATCACAAAATAGAAAATATGTGAGGTGTCCTACCACTAAATGAGATCCATCATTAATGAGATCATGTTGAGGAAATCAACTAAAATCTGGTCAAAGCAATTTTTTATTTTAATGTATTTTAATACTTTGATACTTGTATTTTATGATAGTTTTGAATAAATTTTCTTACTATTCATGCATACATAGTCAGTACTTCCAGTTATTATTTTTACAGCTTAATTTACAGTAACTTTAAAAAACTGATTTTTTTTTTTTCAAAACAAGGTTTTGATATTTAAATTTCAAATACACACATCTCTGAATCTACAGTATATCCTATCCAAAGACAAAATTAAACCTTATGTTGTTGCCTATTCAAATATACTATAAACAAGTGTGGAAAAAAAGTGTTTGTGCCTCCAACCAAGAAATTGTCTTGAAAAAATTACTCCAGCACTAAATGTTATCTATGCACTATAACCCAACAGTTTATTTTTTGAATTTTTTTCCCCTAAAATGCCTCCAGGGCATTCAAGATGCCTCCAACCGCCGGTCGTGCAGTCGCGCACTTTTTCCAGTCTCGACTATAAACTCAATTTGGATTTTCCAATCATGCAAAATGTTATATTATCCTCCACTTGTATTATGTTTATATTATACTCTAAGGCAGGGGCGGATCCAGAGATGTCCAAAAGGGGGGGCCGAAATTTGGGCCGATCGAGACAACAATGTTCTAGGGGGTCCGCGAAATTTGTGTGTTCTAGACGCCCTAAAATAACATTTGAGGCGTTCTAGGCTATCATTTTTTTTCTTTTTCTTTCTTTTTTTCTTTCTTTTTTCTTTTTTTACCTCCCAAAAGGGGGGGGCCGGCCCCCCCCTAAATCCGCCCCTGCTCTAAGGCATATGTTTAATGTTTTGATGTTTTTCAAGTTGAAATACAGATTGTTGAGTATTTTATGCTTTGAAATCTTGCAGAACTGGTCGGGAAAAGGATAATGCAACTAATGAGTTGGAGTCTGAAAGAAAGAAATATCAACTTCAAGAAAAACAGAGTAAAGAACAATTGGAGTTGGTAGCAAATGAAAGAGACAATATCCTTCATTATCATAATTTTTTCTCATTTGTTGTTTACATAGTTTAGTTTATTATAGTTTATTCTTTATTTCCATCACACTCTCAAACAAAATGAGACCAGCTAATTTTGGGTTATGAGTGACCATACAGTAAAGATACATGCTAAAAAGATGACATGCAGTATCATAATACAATAGCAATACATATCAAGAACACAAAACAGGTGAGCTAAATATATACTCTTTCTTAGGTATATCCTAATTAATAATCATTGATGTAAAAATTAATTGTTTTAGTAGTTAGTAGTACAAAAGGTTTCATTTTCATTCTGAATGATAATCGATCATTATACATTAATTAATGGAATGTTGTAGCATCCAAATTAAAATGAGCGAAAATGAAACTGTTAAATTACAATACTAGAGTGTTGCAGCACACATTTCTCATGATGACAGCTGCTATATGTTTTTTTGTTACATTATATTTACCTTAACAATGTTTACCAGTCAAGCAACACTATATAGAATGCCAAAAACTTCTTGCTCAGTATCAGAATCAGTTAAGAGCAGAACAGGAGAAGGCTGAAGAAGCTGTCAAGAAGGCTTCAGAACAAGCAGAGCTTGCACAAGCACAGCAGAAAATGGCAGAACAGAATGCAGCATGGACTGCGCAGATGGCAGTAGAGAAGGAAAGATTAACCATGTTAAGCAAGGAGCGTAGCCCTGCAAAACCTAGGAATAATACAATTAGGGATGATCAACAGTATTCTGATGCAGAAAAAATGGTAACTATTTTTTTCTATATTATTAATTATATGAAGAGTGTATACCTTAAAAATTTTTATGATCTAAATATTTGCAAACAAATTTGTATTGTATTTGTAAATTTATGTATAGTGTTTTACAGTAAGTACCAATTGAATGTAAAATATCTGGATTTCAAATTATCTGGATTTTGTACCACTCTTGATGTCTGTTCTGCAGCCTGTTATGTATTTTAATTATTTAAATTACTAATGACTATCATTGTCTTAATACTTAGATATATACTGCACCCAATGGTGTTCATAACTTACGAGATCTACAGCATCGCCTGAATTCCAGACATCCTACACACCAAATCCATGACATCCAGCATAGAGTCACAAATAATCCAACAGAAAAACTTCATCCAGATGATCCAGAAGATGTACCATTACCATTTAATCCTGCTTTAACCAGTACAAACCGGTCACAACATGTTTTATCTCGGAACTCACAGTCTCTACAAACCTCCAAGACATTAGTTCACCAATCTCATCCAAACCACTTTAAGGATGAACAATGGTCAGTGAATGATGTAGCAGATCCCAGAAGATCAGCAGATAAGTTTCACATTCTTGAGCCTCAGATTGATGAGACACCAACATTTGAAGATGAAGTCACACCGATGTCACCAGTTGAACGTCAAGTATATAATGATACTGCTCCACAGTACCGAAAAGTCTATGAACGTATGACACCTGATCAACGATGGAATGAACTTCTCTTGCACAGGGAAAAATTGCGGCAAGAGCAAGACTGGCTGCGCCAAAAACTTCACGAACAGGAGGAGTTACTGCAACAGAGAAAAGTAGAGAAAACATTCAAGCATGGCACACAACATCATTTGATGTCAATTAATACAGAACAATATCAGGAACCAGAATGGCAGCCTAAGGTACAAACGACAAAAGATGTTCCTAATGATTATGATCTTAAAGACTTTGATAAGGTATCAAATAGCAGAAGATTAATGCAAAAGAGTAGAATTAGTGAACCTTCAGATGAATTAATGTATGAGGATAGTAATTCAAGAACTCGCACTTCAACTCAAAGTAATCAACATTATAATAGAACAAGAAATCATGTAACTACGCAAAACCACAAACTACTTACACGGAAAGCAAGGGGAAAATATTTGCCATTTCAGAACGAGAATAAGGTACCTTCATCAAAGGTATCAATGGCTGATAAGGGTGAGTACAGTTTAGAGAAGCAACTTTTGGCTTTATCATTATTGTCTCACTACCTAGTGTTAAAGTTGATCTGTTTGTGGCTAATATAATTGGCACATTCTGTAAACCCGGCTTCCCAAACTTTTTTCTTTAGGATCCAAGTTGTGATCTCTTACACTAGCCATGACCCATCTAATTAATTGCCTGTTAATAAACCCCCAAACTTGGTGCTATTATGTTTCAAGAATGACTACTTGACATTGGGAGTGACAGCGATTTTTGTTTACTATGATCGAACTTTTTTATTTGCCACAATGGGAAAACAGTGGCAGATCCAAAGTAGAAGGGTCCAAGGAGGGAATTTTCGGATAGAGGGACCACCCAACTCAGCCAGTGGCGTAGCTAGGTAAGAACAGTCCCCGGTGCAGGATTCATTAGCGGCCCCTTTGATGTGAACTGTCAACCGAGGGCTGTGGTTGAGTTATGGCTATTCGGGTGGAGGGAGTGCTGGGAGCCTATCCCTAATGTAATAATTATTATGGTAATTGGAAATTTTCTATTTTAAGAGAGGCCTATGCAGTCTCGTCAGCAGGTGTTCTAAACCTCTGGTAGGCCTATCCATTTGAAATGGAGACCTTATAATATTATTTTGAGCATAGCTACCTGGCAACTCAACATCTGTTCAACTAATTTTTTCATTAAAATTTTTTCTATGAAAACAGTGTATATTTCGATTAAAAACACCTAATGGTTAAGGGGGTCAGTCACTATCATCAGACAAAGAAGGATCAGAGGATGTTATCAAAGTATAAATTGTATTGTGACAATCTGATATCTGTTTGAAGATAATTTATACACAAGATTCTTTACAAATTACTGTTATAAAAGTTACCAAAAAAATGAAGGACAACAGATAGAGATGTAAAACCATAGAAAAAAGAACACTATCAACTTAATTGCAGCACTTGTAATGATATTTTAATTAACATTCAGCTCATTGATGGTGTCCAGATTTGCTCGATGGGCCCTGGTACTCTTAGGGGAATGGTGAAAGCATTTTGGAATGCAAATTATTATTCACCACTTGCCTATGCTGAACACTAAATGAAAGTTAAGCCTAACATCTGCATTTTCACATATAATTGGAGACCCTGCTAACTTGAATTGACACAACAAGCAGGGAGTACAAAAATATTTTATTATATAATAATGTCTAGTGACTTTACAAAATAATTGGGGCGCGACCCATAGTTTGAAGAATTTTAACTGTTAAACCTCCTTTGTTTGAATACCAATTCAAGTAGGTGTGTTGATATTGCGTAGCCAATAAAGATAAACTGTTATTGTCAATAAAACCCACTCGTATAGTTCAAATACCAGCGTTCTAAAGAAATTTTTAAAAAATTGGTGGCACATGAAATTTTTTTCTTAAAAAATAGTAAGCTGGAAATTATTTTTATGGGCCCCTGAGTTTTGCACTGTCTGTACTGCCCACCCCTATGCCACTGAACTCAGCCCCACCATGCTTGGGGCTGAGGTAAGACATTTTATGATTATGGCACCTCTAGATGTTCGGAAATGGCACTCTTAGATTGAAATTTGAATACTTGACTTTTTAGCTGTATTGATTTTTGCATTTGCAAATTTGTTGATAATACCTGACAGCATTTCTGTTTTAAGTTTATTGCTATAAATTGTTTTTAAGAAGTGAAAAGCTTAGATTTACACAATTATGTTTGGGTAAATGACAACAGAAAAATACATACGAATTTCAGGATATTCATTACTAATTGTGCGCATAATAAAATATTGTTTTAATGAGGGTTCATCTAAAAGTACTGTTTTTAAATCATTCAAACTTTATATGAAATGAACACATGGATTGAATTGTTTTTTGCAAACTTGCTGGCGAACTAACACAAAAGTTTGGCTACCCACTTTTGGGTCGCTAACCATAGTTTATGAAGCGTGGATATAAACTACTAAGTATATGTATATCAGGCTTGCCATTTTTAAGATCGCAAGCCCATATTACAGTATTTTAGTGTTTTTATTTAACATATTTATTTTCATTTATATAGAAAAACAACATACTGTGTGACTATTGGAAACTGAATTGTATTTTGAGTAAATATTAGGTGTCCACCTACTGTATGCTTCTGGGTGAAAAGAAACATCATGGATAAAAAAACAGTCTTGCTTGTTGGAAAGCATTTCAGGATGAATTATGCATGATATTATTTTGTATTTTAGGAAGCTCTCCACTTTATGTTAATAGAGAGACACAGACATTGTCTAAAGAAAAGTATGGTGACATTGCAGCTCAAAGTGATAGAAGGTTGCTTGACATCAGTTGTGACATGACATCTCCCAGTGAAAGCAGAGGGCTTGATGGCAGCCATCACATCACAGCACCCAGTGCAAGAAGAGGGCTTGATGTCAGTTGTCAAGTTACAGCTCCCAGTGAAAGCAGAGGGCTTGATGGCAGCCATCACATCACAGCACCCAGTGCAAGAAGAGGGCTTGATGTCAGTTGTCAAGTTACAGCTCCCAGTGAAAGAAGAGGGCTTGATGTCAGTCATGGCAGGGAGTTTGTGCCTAGATACATGGAAAATACCAGGTACACTATGGACTGTTATACTGATTGACAATTTTAGTGCTAAAGCATTGGTTTACAAAGTGGTTTAGTATTTTTATTCTGGAAACCTGACCGAGCCTCTAGCTGGCCCCTTGGTTTAGACCCCCTCCGGACATGGAGTCACCACTAAGACAAGGCCTAGTAAACAT